GAACAGAAGGGTCCTCCCACTGCCCCAAGTGAAGTGTCCCCGCCTCCTCCTGTCCTACAAGATGGTGTCCCCGTCCCCTCCTGTCATTTGTGATGGTGTCCCCGTTCCCCCACTACCCCAAGTGATGGTGCCCCTGTCCCCTCCTGTCCTGAATGTCCGTGCCCCTATTCCCTCCTGTCCTACATGATGGTGTCCCCGTCCCCTCCTGTTCCAGTTGATGGTATCCCCATCTCCTCCTGTCCTGCATGATGTCCACATCCCCTCCTTGTCCTTCATGATGGTGTCCCTGCTCCTCTAGTACCCCAAGTGATGATGTTCCCCTCCCCTCATGTCCTACGTGATGGTGTCCCCGTTCCCTCCTGTCCTACGTGATGATATCTCTGTTCCGCCACTACTCCAAGTGATGGTGCCCCTGTCCCCTCCCGTCCTAAATGATGGTGGTATCCCCGCCTCCTCCTGTCCTGCATGATGAAGTCTCTGTTCCCCCACTACCCCAAGTGATGTTGTCCTCATCCTTTCCTGCCCCAAGGGATGGCGCCCCCATCCCCTCCTGTCCTAAATGATGGTGTCCCAGTTCCCTCCTGTTCTGCATGATGGTGGTGTCCCCATCCCCTCCTGTCCTACGTGATGGTGTCCCCGTCACCTCCTGTCTTAAGTGATGGTGTCCCCATACCTTTTGCACTAAGTGACAATGTCCCCATCCTTCTCCCCTAAGTGACAGTGTCCCCATCCTTCTCCCCTAAGTGACAGTGTCCCCATCCTCCTCTTCCCTAAGTGATGATGTCCCTATCCCTTCCTGTCCTATGTGATGCTGTCCTCTTCCTTTTGCTCTAAGTGATGATGTCCCTGCTTCCTGCAGTCCAGAGAGTGAAGACAGACTTTGAGTTCACTGGTCAGCCCTACACGAGTGTCTGGACAAGGACCTGACCCAAATCCCTCTGTCCGCCATCCCCAACCCAGCCTCTGAGAGCTGCCCCGGGGGCTCATTTCTTGTGGGCACCAAGTACTGTCTGTTGTCCCCCACAGCGACTCAGCTCACCCCTGAGCTTCTGGACACACCTTAGGGTCTTGTCCACGTTGGCCCACTTGTGGATGCTGCTTTACATGTCAGAAATCTGGCTGCCCGCAGAGACGACCGGCCTCTCAGAGTTTGGCCATCATTGGATGGGCCTGACGCCTCTTCTTCGACAGGACGGTGTTCGGCTTGAGAGACCGCAGGGAATGGCCTCTGGGTGTCCCCTTCAAAGGCAATTAGGCGAAATGCTCCAATAGAGCCACAGCAACATTTTCATCCTCGGAGTTTTCACAGACCGTGAATAGGTGGCCGTCAGCTTTTCTGGGCTGAAGAGTCCCTCAGGCTGAGATGATGACCCCGTTGTGCTCAGGACATCCTTTGCGGTCACTCGCCTGCTGACTGAGGTTGCTCCGGCGTGCTTGGCTATTTGAAATAATGTCACTTTTCATTTCCGGATCCTTTCCGAGGACGGAGCCCAGTGCCGTCCACCCAACCTTTCCTCAGAGCCCCAGAGACGGGCTCCCCACCCAGTGCTGCCCACTTCAAGTAAGAACTTGGACAGAGAGAAAAGCCACCCCTTGTCCCACCCCTCCCATAGATTCTACATGAGCACACCCGCGGCTCTGAAGGAGCAGGAGGGGGGCTTCCATGGATACCTGGGGGCGGTGGGTGCAGATCACTAGTCATAGGCCTCCTTCGGGAAAAGAAACTGTAGAAAGTTCTAATACAGTTCTTGTGTGTCTCATGTGCTGGTCTCTGAGTATCTCGAAGAACTACCGGGTTTTGATTCCAGGCCAAACTTTTAATAAAGAAAATTCATCCACAGATGTTCCACCATCAGCCAATATATTCGGTTATTGGAATCCGGGAGATTTAATGGCAGGGCGGTTATTTTATTTGTTCTCTGGATGGAAGCATTTTTCTTGCGTATTTAATATCCTGGAGGAATATTTCCCCTCAGTCTGAGACAGAAGATCCATTGTGGACCTATCAGGTGATTATTTTGTCTCCTGGTGACTCATAGAACAGGTATTTGTACATTTGTTTTTTTACTATGTCGTTAAGGGGAAATTACAAAGAAATCAGCCCATAATTACAGCTGTAATGACAGAACAATTCTGGCCTGATTGTGTTTGGATAAGTTCCTATCTCATTGGGAATAAAGTCAGTGGCCTCGCAGACTGAGTCGTGGCTTTATTGAAACTCAGGCTTCTATTTTTAATATCTAGCTCTGCCTCACAGGGGGATTTTGTACGCCGTTTCCCTTCCCAAGATAATTCATCAACATCAAAGTATGAAGATGCCACCCACTTGTAAAAGTTCTCACTGGGTGCACATCCTGTATGGTGTGTGAGTACTGTCTTCCTGCTAATGAGGCCTCATTAGGGATTAGGCATTTCCTAATTAAGGATTAAGCATTTCTGCCTCCCACCTCCTCCCAAAGTCAGGGTTCACTGAATGCAGGAAATGTGGGTGCTGGCAACAACAAGAAATCAAGAAAGGGTATTTTCTTGGAAAATACCTAGGGTTTGGAAAATAACTTTTTTTTTTTTTTGAGTCCGGGTCTTACTCTGTCACCCAGGCTAGAGCGCAGTGGCATGATCATGGCTCACTACAGCCTTGGCCTCCTGGGCTCAGGCAATCCTCCTTTCTCAGTCTCCCAAGTGACTGGGACTATAGGCACACACCACTACACCCAGGTAACTTTTTTATTTCTTGTAGGGACAGGATCTCCCTATGTTGCCCAGGCTGGTCTGGAACTCTTGGCCTCCAGCAATCCCTCCACCTCAGCTTTCCAAAGTGCTGGAAGTGAACCACCACCATGCCTGGCTGGAAAAATCACCTATTTTGGATACCAAAAATGCCCCCACCTAATTCCCAAGGAATACGTCATCGGGTGCCAGAGAATCCTATATGCCAGGGGCTGGGGGAGACTGAGTGAAGCCGAGGAGCGGGCTGAGAGTCCAGAGGAGCGCAGGTTGTAGGGAGTGCTGTCCCTGGAGGTGAGAGAGGATGACTCCCTAGCAACGACGCGGTGAGCTGGGCCTTTGGGGAGGGGGTTCGAAGGGCAGGGCGCCAGAGCTCCGAGTCGGTTGGGGCCTGGGTGGGCACAGCAGAAAGTGGCCGACCAGGGGAGGTTGCATACAGGGCAGGGGTGGCCACTGTCCCCCTGCAGGGGGTTCTGGGAAGCTCTTGATCACGGTGGTACAGGCCCACCCAACCCCCTGCAGAGACATGACCCCAGCGGGCAGGCAGGCCAGGGGCCTGAGGACCAGATTTGGATCCCATGAGTGGCGGATGGCCGTGTGGACTGAGTCCAGCCCTGTTGGTCAACAATCCCCAACTCATCTCCAGAGACGTGGTGTGTCCCCACCCTCCCCCCACAGTGGTGTAGGGCTCACCCTTGTCCTAGTTTTCATCCCATTTTCCCTAACTATTGTCCAGGGCCAGGGAACCAGGCATCTACTGTGACCAAGCTGGACACGGTCCTCAACTGCCTCCTTCCCCGATCAGCTTCCCGTTTCAAAGGCCTAGCTTCCGTATGGGTACAGGAATCGGTGTCATACACTTTTAGACATTCTCGGACTCTAGGCACATGCTGTCCCAAACACCGCAGACTTTGGCTTCACTCACTTGCCATCAACAGCCCTGCCTGGGTACTGGCCTGGCTGCCATCCCAGGACAAATGACGGAGACTCCGGAAGCTTGTCCACTCACTGGTTTGAGCAGGTGCCACTGGGCCGGGCTTCCCAGCTGCCTGGCTTTTCCCAAGGCCCCTCATCCCTGCCCTGCCACCCACCTTGCTGGGGATGCCAGCTGCCCCGGCAGCAGAGGGGAGGTGACATTGGGGGGACTCCCACTCCCCATGCCCCACTTTGGAACCCGGATGAGTTCCTTCTTTTTCCAAGTTGGGTCAGGAGTGCTGTCTTGTGCAGGAAAGTCCTCTGATATTGTTCCTTCTCTGGCTGGCATGACATGGTGTGACGCCCCAGGCCACGCCAGGAAGGCTCTGGATGCAAGATGCAGCTTGTCTTGCAGAGCCCTTAGGACCACTCTAGAGACAGGGGCCTGACGAGGCCTATAAGGGTACTGTTGGTGTTGTCCTGGGCATCTCACATGACCCACCATGTCCAGGTCCCAGGGGATCGCCACTCACTTCCTGGGCCTGCTGCAGCCCGTGGTGAGTGGCCTGGCTGGGGGTTTACCTGCACTCAGTAGGGCCTCTGTTGGTGGCTGCTACCACATCAGGGTTGTCTGGAGTGGGTGCTGTCCAGGACCCCTCCCAGCTGTGTCTATGGAGGGGGGAAATGAGGTGTGGGAGGGATCCCTAGATTCAAGTCAGAGCTGTGCCCAGGGTCACTTCAGGGGTGAGGAAATTGCAAATAGACCCTCCAGACTCTGACCCTTGGGGGGACAGGTGTTTCAGGAGCCACTGAGAGCTATCCCTTGCCTTCTCCCGAAAGGACTTTCCCTTCTTTTCTGAAAGGACCACACCAACTTTGAGTACACGCCATGTTATGCTGGCCAGAGAAGGAGCAATGTCAAAGGACTTCCCTGCAAAAGACAGCACTCATGAGGGGTCATGAGTCTATCTATTGAGGAGCTGGGAGTCTCTATCACTTTTTAAAAAAATTTTATTAATTTTTTTTGGAGTCAGGCTCTCACTTTGCCATCCAGGCTGGAGTACAGTGGCACAACCATGGCTCCCTGCGGCCTTGACTTCCTGGGCTCAGGCGATCTTCCCGCCTCAGCCTCCCGAGGAGTTAGAACTACAGGCATGCACCACCATGCCCAGATAATTTTTTATTTTTATTTTTGTAGAGACAAGGTCTCACTATGTTGCCCAGGCGGGTCTTGGACTCCTGGCCTCAAGTGATCGGTCCTCTTGCCTTGGCCTCCCAAAGTGCTGGAGTGACAGGCGTTGAGGCACTGTGCCTGGCTCCATCATTTTAAGAACCCTCAGAAATGACAAAGGAAGCCCAGATGTCTCCTAATATTTTTATTGATCCTTAGGTAACTGGATAGTACAAAGTTTTCCTCTTTTTGTTTTTGTTTTTTTTACTTAAAAAATGTACTTTCTGCACGCTGTTGCCCTCCTGACATTCCTTTCTCCCTGGAAACTCGAGTTTCCCTGGACAAGCCCTTCCTATCCATGGTTACATGATTTAGATAATTTAACGAGAAGAGGATAATTCCTTTGATTATTATCAACATGAACTTGACTATGTCTCTATAAGGGTGAACACTGATTTTTTTTTCTTTTGAGAAACAAAAACCATCCACTTATTACTCCAAACTACGGCATTGCATTTACAACATTCATTGCATAAACTGAACACACGAAGTTACCACCTCAAGGAAACAACAGACAAGACGTTGCACGATATATCTACGGGGTACGCAAGTTCAAACGACGTGGATACAGCAAATCCGTTCTACGCACTCTGACCACCGCTGCGGGAAGCACTAGACACGGGTCCAGGAGCTACTTGGGAGTCTGGGCACGGTTAATCTAAGAGACAACGACACGGTCAAGGAACGGCGCTGCAATGGGATGTGAGTGACACCGGCCCGGGGAGACAGGACGATCACATCCCTCGGAGCTGACCACGATCTAAGGACACGTCCATGCGATCCCAACAGTGGGTTGTTCTCGGGGGAGAGTTGGCCAACAGTCATTGCCTTGCTTTTTTAGTATGTTGTTTGACCAGAGAGGGACACAGCGGGGGTTGGGGTAGGGGGCGGGGGAAGCAGGGAGGGGACCCGGGGCACCGTGGGCTGCAGTTCCAGCTGCAATATAGGGGGTTTCTTCCGACGTCTGTGACCCGCCGACCCGAGTAGGGGGGGACGCACGGAGGTAATGCCATCCCTCGATGTCAGAATCCGCAGTGCTGATGATAATTTTTCAAAATCAGTATGATTAGTATCGTTAGTATCTTTTTGGCAGCTGTTTCACAGGGGTGGGTGAGGGCTCGCCTCTGCCACCCCAGCTTCCAGGCAGAGAGGGAGCTATAACTCGTCGGAGCGGATGACATGGAACAGCGTCACGTTGTAGAGGATCTGGTGGCCGTTGTTCCAGGCATACAGGGCGCGGTCCTTGGGGTTGTAGTCCAACATGGAGATGTGGGAGTATTTGTTCTGGAAGGGGATGTCAATGTACTCATAGGTGGAGGCGTTGGTCTGGTAGGCGTAGTGGACTTTGGTGCCCCCCGAGTAGCCGTTGGTGACGTACAGGGTCCCACAGATGATGAAAGCCTCGCCGGCGCTGCGCTTGGGGTAGCTGGTGTTCCAGGTCTGCAGGATCTGCAGGGACACGGGGTCCAGCTTGCTGATCACGATGTTGCCGGCATTCTGGTTGGTGGCGTAGACGGCCCACAGCCCGTTCTCGTCCACCATGAGGTCGATGTCCGAGTGGCCGCCCCAGGCGTAGTGGTACATGTTGTTGTAGCCGGCGTAGTCCAGGCTGCGCGTCTTGAGGATGGTCTCCGTCTTCAGGTCAAAGCGGATGATGATGTGGCTCTGGAACTTGTTGAAGTAGATGGAGCCATTGTAGACCACCTGTCCCGTGCCGGACCAGGGGTGGGGGAGGCGGTGGGACGTGAAATTGTCCGTGTTCATAAAGTCGATCATGGACTTGTACTCACGGACGAAGCGGTTGTTGTGGTAGCCGTCCATGTACCAGACCTGCAGAAGGAGAACAGACCAGGACCGGGTTAGCGTTTCCAAAGGAGTGCGGGCAGGCTTCTCCCAGGGGGAAACCTGGGCTCTGACTTGGAATTCCCTGGGCACCAAGAGAAGGAGCTGGAAGAACCTGGAAAGAATGATTGACTTGGCCCAGTGCGGTGGCTCACGTCTGCAATCCCAGCACTTTGAGAGGCTGAGGTGAGAGGACTGCTTGAGCCCAGGAGTTCGAGACCAGCCTGGGCAACATAGTGAGAGACTCCATCTCTATATAAAAACAATTTAAAAATTAGCCTGGTGTCATGGTGCACGCCTGTAGTCCCAGCTACTTGGGAGGCTGAGGCAGGAGGATCTCATGAGCCCAGGAGTTTGAGGTTACAGTTAGCTATGATCGTTCCACTGCACTCCTGGGCAATAAAGTGAGACTCTGTCTTCAAAAAAAATTTTTTTTTAAACAAGAACAATTAGGACTATCAGATTCCATGTCCTCCCTCCAAACCCATGGTGCACTCTTCCAAAGGGGACAGGACTATTTTGCTACCAGAAAAAGAATCGTCCAGTTTGAAGAAAGGACATGGTGGGAAGGTGGGTGGGAACTACCAGCCTGGGACACCTGCAGTCTCACTACAGTCATCCCACATAATTCATATAAGCGGGTGGTCCCCTAAACCATGTCAGGACCCCAGATTGAGCTCTCTGCTTCGGATGCCACCAGGTCATGGAGTCGTGGCCCCATTCGTGGCTGTATCCCCCAGCCAAGGGCCTGGCCTGTAGCGGGTATGCACAGACACTTGTGGTAGAAGGATACTCCTTCTGTGCAAGGACCCAGCACCATGAGATGGCATTGGAAAGGGCACAGGTGCCTGGCCCTGGATGGGTGCAAATGCTCCCAGCACGGGGCAGCTCTGGTGTGCAGTGACAACTGGCTCTCAAGGAGGCTGGGCAAAGCAGGTTCTTGTAAGCCAACAGGACACAATGCGTGTGGCTTCTCAGTCCTGCCAAGGCCATCCCTGCGGCTCTGAGTCATCCCGTCTGCCAGGCAGAGCGTCATTCATGCAGCCTTTGGGATGCTGTCAGCGTCCCCACTCATTGTCAAACCTAATCCAGGGGACAGCATCTGTCTGGGGAACAACGTGGGTTTCAGAAAAGCTTCTGGTTGTCTAAATCAACCAAGATCACAAACACAGTGGTGGCCCGAGTTTGGGGTTACAGAAGAAGAGCGATTTCCGATGATTGCTTAAACGCCCGTCGGCTTGAGAGCTGTCTGGACCTTGTACAGAACACTTTGGTCATTTTCCACCAATACAAGAGCAAATTAGAAAGGGACGTGGTTAGCAGAAAGAAATGTGGCAGGCTAATGCCGCTCCCTGAGCATCTGTCTGACAGTGAGACAGCTGCTTTATCCGCTGGGAGCTCTGTGACCACAGGAGAGATTAGGGACGTGGGAGCTTTCAGACTTGGCATGACACATGCGTTAAAAATTAAAAAAAAATCATAACCTTGTCCTGAGACATCCATTCAGATACTTAGAGGCAGATGCGCTTTTTGTTTTTAATGAAATGTCTGAAAAACTGGGTCTCATTGGAGGCGGCTATTATCCTTAGCCTCCGCAGACCCGCCTCAACAATGTGGGTCATGGATTAGGACTGGGAGGGGTGTTAGAAGGACCAGGGCCATGCACCGAAACCCTGGTAAATCACATTGCCAGAGAGTTGCCCTCCCCTCTCTGCTTGGCTGCCTTCTCAGATGGGGAGCTCGCTGCTTCTTTGGAGACTCAGGTCAAATGACATCCCTCTCTGAATCTCCCCTGACTCAACTCTAAAGAATCGTACTTGCTATTTCAGTATGGAGAATGCTTTGTGTGTGTGTGTGTGTGTGTGTGTGTGTGTGTGTGTGTGTGTGTGTGTGTGTATTTCTTTGCGGAGATAATCTCTCGCTATGTTGTCCAGGCTGGTCTCAAACTCCTTGGGCTCAAGTGATCCTCCCGCTTCAGTCTCCTAAAGTGCTAGGATGACAGGCATGAGTCACCATACCTGGCCTGGAAAAAAAGTTTTGAATATGTTCACACATCAGCTGCCCCACCAGTGCATCCTGGATCTGGGGGACCTGATGTGATTCACCTCTGTATACCCGGAATCCAGAGCTGCAGAATGGGGCGACATCATTTTTTGGGGGTGGAGTCCCACTCCATTGCCCAGGCTGGAGTGCAGTGGCATACTCACAGTCACCCCAAGAGTCGACCTGCTGGGCTCTGGAGATCCTTCCACCTCAGCCTTCCGAGTAGCCGAAACTATAGGCACATGCTACCATGCCCGGCTAGTTTATTTATTGTAGAGATGAGGTCTCACCAAGTTGCCCAGGCTGATCTCAAACCCGCAGGCTCAGGTAATCCACTTGTCTCAGCCTCCTAAAATGCTGGGATTACAGGCTGAGCCACCGAGCCCGGCCAACTGAGGGTTTTAAAATTGCCTTTTCTCCTGCTACACTGGTAAATGAGACCCAGGACATAACACTTTCTGAAAATGGAATTGAGGGTAGGAGGGAACATTGGCAAGGACACTCAACATGTAACAATCAGCTCTCGGTCCTAGACGGGGCTCAGGGAGGCTGCCTGGGATGCTTGCCAGTTTCCATGGTGTATATTCTGCACCACACAGAGATTCCGTTGAGCATGAGAAGCCCGCCTGTGACACAGCAGAGGTACACAGAGCCCCGAGGGGCTCGGGATAAGGAGCCCTGTGTTTCCCAGTGGCTGCCTCTCCACTGAGCTCATACTTCTCATTGAAATGCCTTTTCCTTCCCCTCCATCCTAGTCTCAAAGCTCAGCTCGAATTCCCTCAGTGCTGGCTAGTTTTGTCTCTGGGGAGGCGACCCCAAAGACAATACCAGCTTTCAGGGAGACTTAGCACTCTTGTTTTCTGGAAGGACTTACTGTTCTTTCCAACAAGACCCAAGGGCTCCCGGAGAATGGTCGAGAGCATTACTCAGGGCACTTGCAGCATTCTTGGTGCTGGAAGCCGGCATCCTCTCTTGCCTTCAATTCTTACACGTCAGGGGAACTGTGCCCCATTTTTAGACTAGAGAACTGGCCAGGCATGGCAGCTCATGCCTGTAATCCCAGCACTTCAGGAAGCTGAGGCAGAAGGATGTCTTGAAGCCAGGAGTTTGAGACCAGACTTAGAAAACTGAGGCCAGAGAGGTTGGTGATGTTCCAGTGGACAAAGCCAGGCGGGGACTCAAATTCCTGAGTCTGAAACCATTGCTTTGGCCAGGGGTTCTCAGTCAGGCTGATCTGCCCACAGGGGACACTGGATTTGGCTGGAGACAGTTTAGGGGGAATATGGTGCTGGCTTCTGGGGAGCAGGGGCCAGGGATGCTGCTACATATCTTTGTTTTTTTTGAGTTGGAATCTCACTCTGTCGCCCAGGCTGGAGTGTAGTGGCACACTCGTGGTCACTCCAGCGTTGACCTGCTGGGCTCCGGCGATCCTCCTGCCTCAGCCTTCCAAGTAGGTGGAACTACAGGCACACCCTCCACACCCAGCTAATTTTTTGATTTATTGTAGAGATGAGGTCTTGCCAAGTTTCCCAGGCTGGTCTTGAACCCGCAGGCCCAGGCAATCCACTCGCCCTGACCTCCCAAAGTGCTGGGATTACAGGCTGAGCCACCAAGTCCAGCCTGCTACACATCTTGCAGAGGACAACACCCCACCACAAAGAACAACCTGGTCCCAAACATTAGCAGAGGTGGCTGAAAAGCCCTGGTCTTGACCAACTGTTCCACAAACTTGCCAGGTGAATGGCCAGTTTCCCTCAGCCGGCTTGGACTCTCTGCCCTCATTTCCCTGCATTATCCTCACATCATGCACCAGGCCTGGCAATGGATAGGTGGTCACATCCTGGCGGTCGGGGAAAAACAGCCTGGTGGAGTGAGCCTTCATCCCGCCCTCTTCCTCTTCCTCTTAAAAGGCCCTCAGATGCTGCCAGGATCAGATGTGGCACCTGAAGGTTCACACCCGAGTGGCCTCCCTGCAGGGAGGAAAAGGCAGCACTCCCGGCTGACGCTCTCGGTGGCTCCCACCAGGAACATGTTTCTTCCCCAGGGCAGGGTTGAATTTAGAAAGAAGTACATGCGCTCTTGACCCTTTCTGGCCTCCCTAGCACCCGTGAGGAAAGAATCTATGTCTGCTCAGCTCCCGTGGAGGGACTGTTTCAAACAGAAGTGGACCCTTTTGCAGGAAGACATCCCCCGTTACCGCCTGGTCTCAGCATTCCCTCCACAGAATGGGGATGGGTGGAGGTTTGGGCAATGCCACGCCTGGGGACTCTTCATCTGTTTCTTATGTCACAGCTGCTCCTGTTTCTCAGATGCCAGGGACACAGTCCTCGTCCTCCAAAAGCTTGTGACCTCACGTGGCATAAGGAGGGGAGACCTGAGAGAACATTCTGGGGGCTGGAAACCAGAGCAGCCCAGGGAGAAGGGGTCCTTGGGTGGAGAGTTCTGAGTCTCTTCCATGGGAGCTTCGCCCAACTGTGGGAAAGCGCCACCGGGTGGTTGGTCAGGCTGCTGGGTGCCACCTGCCCACTGAAGCCCTCTCAGCCAATCAGTGGCCACTCCTCGTCTGAATCCCTCTCTCCTCACAGCTAGCCGGGCTGTCCCCACGCAATGGGGTTGAAACCTGGCAGCCACAGGTGGTACCACTGCAACTGTGTGCTGAACCACGGGTAGGTGCGTCATGCCCCTTGACATGGAACTTGCTGCCCACCTCTACAGTTAAGTTAAGATGGTCCCAGAGGCCACAGAGCTGGGAAGGGCAGCGGGCAGATCCAGGCTCAAGTTCTGAGTGGCTCTGACGCCTCTAGGCCACGCTGTCCACAGGGACTCCACGCAGGAGCTCACCGGTGACACGTGATGTCCCCTGATGGCTCTGCACACTCTGTCCACAGCACAGGCAGGGAAGGGCACAGACTGGTCCATTCACCAAGGTCTAGGAGAAGCCGGAG